GCTGGCTCACCTGGTCCTGATTTCTAGTCCAAACTAGAGAATTGAAAAACAACCGAAGCAGTCCTTGGCCAGCCCCCACGCTCTTCTAGGTCCCCGTTTCTCCATCAGCCAGGGAGTATGTTAGGAGAGACAGGCTCTGAGGTCCTCCCGGGTCTCCCACTTCCCACTGGAATGGAGACAAACTCATGTTACTCGAGCTTCTCTGGCAGGCATCAGCCAAGAGGTTCTGCCAGCAGGACCCAGAGCCTCAGGGTCTCCTTTCTTGTCTCTCAGCAGGCACCATACTGTCTGAGGAGGGTACTCTGCTCCCGATTGCCACCCCAAGCCACTCACTACCGGCACTTGATGAGCCATCTGTCTTCTAGCCATTCCATTTGAGGCCCTGACATTGTGGAGTGAAGACAAGTTGTCCCTAACATTCGTCGTGCATGTAACAAGACAGTTGGGGTCATTTGTTAGGCAGCAATAGCAATAGAGATTAAAGAAACATATGCATGCTCAAATCTGAGGCCACCAACCCATCATCCACCCTGCCCAGCTGCCTTCCCCAACGAGGGTCCCCAAAATGTTGGCAGCTTGAAAAGTCTCACCAGCCCAAGAGAAAAGATCTAAAAATATAATGGCAGAAGTTACTCCACAAATCAGCCAATATGGAGGCTTGCTGTCAGTATGCTGTACTCAAATATTGGTTTCCTTTTATCAGCTCACCACTTTTTTTTTGTTTTGTTTGTTTGTTTTTTAGTCAGAGTCTCACTCTGTCACCTAGGCTGGAGTGTAGTGGCATGCCCATGGCCACCACAGCCTCAACTGCTGGGCTCAGGCGATCCTTCTGCCTCAGCCTTCCAAGTAGCTGGAACTGCAGGCACATGCCACCATGCCCAGCTAATTTTTATTGATTTATTGTAGAGATGAGGTCTTACCGAGTTGCCCAGACTGGTCTTGAACCCCTGGGTTCAGGCAATCCTTTCACCTCAGCCTCCCAAAGTGCTGGGATTATATGCGTGAGCCATGGTACCTGGCCTACCTTTTTTTTTTTAACATAACACTTTCATTAAGGTACAATCTACATTCCATAAAACTCACCCTTTTAAGATATATAACTCAGAGGTAAAGGAAAAGTTTCCCTAAACACGTCATTTCTGATGTGATGTGTGGGTTTTCCACACCAAGAACTCTTCCAGTTCTCTGCAGGCACCAAATGGGGGTCCTACAATTTACCTCACTTCTGACACTGTCTTAGGCTGTGCTCTGTTGCTATAACTGAATGCCTGAGATTGCATAATTTATAAAGAAAAGACATTTATTTCTTATAGTTCTGGAAGTTGGGAAGTCCAAGGTCAAGGGCCCACATATGGTGAGGACCTTCTTGCTAGTGGGGACTCTCTGCAGAGTCCTGATGGGGTGCAGGGTATCACATGGTGAGGGGGCTCAGGAGAGAAAGCCAGCCTGGCTTTCATAACAGATCTACTCTCATGTTACCCTATTAATCCATTACCCCATAAGTGGACTGTCAACCCCCGAAGGCCCCACTTTTCAATACTGTTACATTGGGAACCAACTTTCAACATTAGTTTTGGAGGAGTCAAACATTCAAACAACAGCAGACACTAACCACTTGGAATTAGCACAGCCCTCATAGGTTAAGGGCTCAGTCCCACAAGACGCCTGCACTTCAGATGCTGGTCACAAGTAGAGTCCCAGGCTATCCACATTTCTGTCTAACCCTTGGCTACAAATCAAGGATTCCCATGATGTCCTCTCCAGGTTTAATTATTTGCTATAACAGCTCACAGAACTCAGGGAAACATTACCTACTATCTTAGTTCATTCAGACTGCTATAACACAGTACCACAGACTAGGTAATTTATAAATAATAGAAAATTATTTCTCACAGTTCTGGAGGTTGGGAAATCCAAGATCAAGGCACCAGCATGGCAGGCATGAGGGAGCATGCCTGTAGACTCAGCTAGTCAGGAGGCTGAGGCTGGAGTATTGATTGCTAGTACCAGGAGGTGGAGATGGCAGTGAGCTGTAATTGCACCACTGCAGTTCAGCCTGGGCAACAGAGCAAGATACTGATTCTAAACAAATTAATTAAATAAATATTAAACTAACAATACTGGCATGCAGGACACCATAACTCATACCCTATAGTTCAACATTGTATAGCTAATCACTAATCAATGTTATTTCTGTAAACCAATGAGAATTCCTGACAACTTTGTATCAGCCCACTCCTTGTCCTCCTTTTGCCTTTAAAAATCTGCTTGTAGTTGGGCTCAGGTGGCTCACCTCTATAATTCCAGTACTTTGGGAGGTGGACACAAGAGGACTGCCTGAGCCCAGGGGTTTGAGACCAGCCTGGGTAACTTGGCGAGATGTCTCTACAATAAATTAAAAAATAAAAATTAGCTGGGCATGGTGGTTCACGCTTGTAGTTCCAGCTACTTGGAAAGCTGAGGCAGGATTGCCTGAGCCCAGCAGGTCGAGGCTGCGGTGGCCGCAAGCATGCCACTGCACTCCAGTCTGGGTAACAGAGTAAGACTCCAACTCAGAAAAAAAAACCTGCTTGTAACAAAGACTGAACAGAACTCATATCCAGTTACAGTACTTGAGTCTGAGTTTTCCACAAAGTTGTCCTAATTTTGGCCCAAATAAATTCTATACTTTATTAATCTTAGTTTCTCCCTTTAGATCTACAGTAATTAAATCAAACTTCAACTCCTCTTCCCTCCCTGGAGGTTGAGAGGTGGGGCTGAAAGTTCCAATCCTCTAATCACAAGTTTGGTTCCTCTAACAAGCTTCCATCCTCTAAAAGTGACTCATTAGCATAAACTCAGATGTGGTTGAAAGGGGCTTATTATGAATAACAAGAGTTGTTCCTATCACTTAGGAAGTTATAAGAGTTTTAGAAGCTCCAGGCAGAGATTGCATATATACTTTTTTTTCCTCTAAAAGATTTATATATACAAGGAGTTAAAAGTATACTTCTAGTTATGTCACAAGCAGCTTTTAGTATTTTCAGTCTTGTGCAACCGTCACTAATTCCAGAACGTTTTTACCATGCCAAACAGAACCTCAAACCAAGTCACTTCCCATTGTCCTCCCCACCCCCACAACCCACTTATCTACCTCTTACACTATTGATGCAGATGAATCCCAGAATTGGGGTTCAGCCTGAGAGGCCAATCGGGTTCTTGGCTTCACACAAGAAGGAATTCAAACGTGAGCCAAAAGTAGGAGATGAAAAGTAAGTTTATTAAGGAAACAGATCCATAGTCAGAGTAGCCCATGCGCATCACTGGGGTTTCAGTTGGAAAATAAGTTTGTTGAAATGACAGGAAACAGGCTACTCCACACTGGGCTTGTTGATAGGAAGAACAGCAAGCCCATACATCACTGGGGTTTTATTGTTACAGCTATCTCTTGATTATATGCTAAGCAAGGGGTGGATTATTCACAGACTTTCAGCAAGGGAGCAGGGAGTTCCCAGACTCAAGGGTTCCTTGAGTCACATAGGGTAACTTCTGGGAGTTGCCATGGTAATTGTAACCGTAATGGCAATTGCATGTTGCTATGTAATTGTAAACTGTCATGGCTCTGGTCGTCTAGCATGCTAATATATTACAACTATTGTATAATGAGCAAGAAACACAGGGAGAGGTGGTTTTCGATGCCATCTTGGTCTCAGCTGGCCTCAGCAGGTCTTCTCACTGCCTCCCATCTTGTCAGTGAGGTCTGGGGGCGTATGACTGTCATTTTGGAAACTAATCCTGCAGGTTCCCTATCTTACTATGAATTCACCTACTCTGTGCATTTCATATGTAAATAAAACTATACAATATGTGGCCACATACATCTGGCTTCTTTTCCTTAACATAATGTTTTCAAGGTCCTTTGCTCAATTAAACTCCATTAAGTTTAATTTGTCTAAAATTTTTCTCTTTTTTTGGAGTCGTGGTCTCACTCTGTTGCCCAGGCTGGAGTGCAGTGGCATGATCATGGCTCACTGTAGCCTTGACCTCCTGGACTCAGGCAGCTTCCCCCCAGCCTCCCAAGTAACTGGGACTACAGGTATGGGCCACCATACTCAGCTAATTCTTTTTATTTTAAGAGACTAGGTCTCACTATGTTGCCCAGGCTGGTCTCGAACACCTGGGCTCAAGCAATTCTCTTCTCTCGGCCTCCCAAAGTGCTGGGATTACATGCATGAGCACCCAGTCTTTTTTCTTTCTTTTTTTTTTAAGAGGTCTGCCGGACTCGGTGGCTCAAACCTATAATCCCAGCACTTTGGGAGGCCGAGGTGAAAGGACTTCCTGAGCTCAAGGATTCGAGACAGGCCTGGGCAATTTGGCGAGACTTCGACTCTACAATAAATCAAAAAATAAGCCGGGCGTGGTGGCGCGTGCCTGTAGTTCCAGCTACTTGGAAGGCTGAAGCGGAAAGACAGCCTGAGACCAGCAGGTCGAGGCAGCGGTGTGCGGTAGCTGTGAGTGTGCCAATGCACTCTCGCCTGGGCAACAGAGTGACAATACAACTTAAAAAAAAAAATTCCAGAATTGTATACATTTAAAAGCCGCTCAGCCTTAGACAAATGGCCCGCATTTCCTCAAGAAGACCTACAGACGGAGCTCCCCAGCCTCCACCCAGCCACCCTCCAAGCTCGGGGAGGCCCCAGCATCGCCCACTCCCACCCCAGCAGCCCAGCCTCCCGCTGCCGCTCGAGCTTCCTAAAGAGCCTGCGCAAGGCCGACAAGGGCGGGAGGCAGCACCGGCCGATAAGGGTCATCTCCGCAAGAGCATGGGGCACCGGATGGAAGACACCCAAGCTTTCCAGACTCCGTTTTCGGGCTCTTTATCTTTCCTAAGTTTCCCACCATCTCACACTTAACTCGCCACCAAGTTATTTGCGTACTCAGTGAAGACCGCACCCGACCGAAAAGCGCAGCCGGAGGCGGCAAGCGTGGCTTCCGGCCGGGAGGTGCGCGGCGAACCTTGCTTCCGGTGGCGCTCGGGATGACGTAGTAAGCGCGCCGCGTGCGTGGTCTCGGGGACGGCGCGGTCGGTGGATGGAGGTCAGCGGTAGTGCTCGCTGCGTAGGTCTTGCGCTACGGGGACGAGGGACTGCTGAATTTGGGTCCCCGGGGCCCAAAGGCGTGGCTGGGAAGGCGGCGGGGTGCCGGGATGTGGTGAGCTTGAGAGTGGGCAGGGGCGGTGGGACACAGCGGGTCTGGTGGGCTGCCGGTTTGGTGCTGGCCCCCAGTACGCACGATTCTCGTCTCCCCGTGGTGCTCGCGAGGCCCGGTCTGGAAGGTGCCGCCCCTGTGGACTCTCAGCGTGCCGATTTTCGTGAATTCGTACACGTTATTTGATACTCTGCATTTGAGAACTAAACTATGGGGTTTGTGTTTGCCTAAACCCGTCTGACTTCTGGACTTCGTTTCCTCACCTAAACTGCTCTTAGGATTGTCTTAGAAATGGGAAAGGTTTTCCAGCCTTCCCCGCCACAGTGCTTGGGCTCAGGAAGTGGTAGATGTTGCGCTTGGGCAGATATTCCTCTTCTCTGAGCCTCAATTTTTTTATTTTATTTTATTTTATTTTTTTAGGTGGAGTCTCACTCGGTTGCCCAGATTGGAGTGCAGTGGCCGCTACCGGCCACCGCAGCCTCGCCTGCTGGGCTCCGGCGATCCTTCCGCCTCAGCCTTCCGTAGCCGGAATTACAGGCATGCGCCACCACGCCCGCCTGATTTTTTGATTTATTGTAGAGATGACGTCTCGCTGCCCAGGCAGGTCTCGAACCCGCGAGCTCAGGCAATCCACTCACCTCAGCCTCCCAAAGGCGCAGGATTACAGGCTGAACCACCGAGCCCGGCAATATTTTTTTTTTTTTAAGCGGCATGCTCACAGCCACCGCAGCGTTGACCTGCTGGGCTCACGTGATCCTTCCGCCTCAGCCTTCCAAGTAACTGGAACTACAGGCGCTAGCTACTACGCCAAGCTAATTTTTTGGGTTTATTGTAGAGACCAGGTTGTCCAGGCTGATCTTGAATCCCTGGACTCAGACAGTAGTCTCGCCTCTGCGTCCTAAAATGCTGAGATTGCAGGTCTGAGCCACCACACCCAGCAATTTTTTTTTTAAGTGTAAAGATAGACTAAGTTTTTGTTTTTGTTTTTTTGAGTCGAAGTCTCACTCTGTCACCCACTGCAGCCTCAGCCTGCTGGGTTCAGGTGATCCTTCTGCCTCAGCCTTCCAAGTAGCTGGAACTACAGACATTGTGCTACCATGCCCAGCTAATTTTTTGATTTATTGTAGAGATAAGGTCTCATCAAGTTACCCAGGCTGGTGTCCGACCTGTGGGCTCAGGTAATCCTCTCACCTCAGCCTCCCAAAGTGCTGGGATTATAGGTGTGAGCCACTGCACCTGGCCATAAGCTTTTTATAGCTGCAATAATTCATTTATATTAAAATAAAATGTACCAGCCATATACCAAGTTCCAGGAAATGGAAAAAGATCAAGCATCCTTTCTGCTTCAGCAGAATTGAAGCCCATGATAACTTTTTTTTTTTTGAGCACGAGTCTCTGTCGCCCAGGCTGGAGTGCAGTGGCATGCCCACGGCCACCACAGCCTCGACCTGTTAGGCTCAGGTGATGCTTCCACCTTAGGCTTCCAAGTAGCTTGAACATCAGGTGCTATCACACCCTGCTAATTTTTTTATTGTAGAGATGAGTTGCCCAGACTGGTCTCAAACCCCTGAGCTCAGGCAGTCCTCTTGCCTCGACTTCCCAAAGTGCTGTGATTACAGGCTTGAGCCACCACGCCCAGCCTCCAGATTAACGTTTTAACGTTTTATCTTGCCCTTGTCATGTGCCTTCCCTAGGTCATTTAATCACCCTAGTAAGCTGGTAAAATTGTTAAAAGCAACATCACAGGAATAGGTAACACATTGTTACAGGAGGTAGCATTTTTGTCTGGACTTGGAAAGATAAAATATCTTTTGCTGGGTCCTATGATGGAGGGGGACACCCAGGTAGCAAACCTTTCAAAGTGGAGTGCAAGACCTGATTAGAATGGGGGCTTGTGTTGTGGAGAGAGGTAGTAAAACTGGGAAGATCATTCTGGGCTGTGTTACTAAATGCTTTTTATTATTTGTTCAGAAGTTTCACTTTTAGAAATCTGGGGGAGAGGGGTTTTTTTTGTTTGTTTGTTTGTTTTGAGTAGGAGTCTCACTCTGTAGCCCAGGCTGGAGTGCAGTGGCACGCTCACAGCCACTGCAACCTTGACCTGCTGGGCTCAGGTGATCCTTCCACTTCAGCCTTCCTAGTAGCTAGGACTACAGGCATACCCCACCATGCCCAGCTAATTTTTTTTTTTTTTTTTGTAGAGATGAGATCTCGCCAATTTGCCTAGGCTGGTCTCGAACCCGTGGGCCTAGGCAGTCCTCTCACCTTCGCCTTCCAAAGTGCTGGGATTATAGGCCTGAGCCACCGTGCCCGGCCTTTGTTTTTAAAGGAAGTTAGTGAAGTCATCACTAATGATGTCATCTACCTTAGTTTTGGAAAGCTCACTCCCATGTTTGCAGTGTTAAAATATATCAACAGAAGCTTTGGAAATGTGAATTATATGTCATGGATTTTCCAGGATCATTCTGATTTAAAATATTCTGTCCTGTGGTCTCTGTAAGCCAGTAATTCTTAATCCTGGTTACCCTTGAAATAAAAATATCAATGCCACCTGAGCCCTATTTGCAGAGATTCCCATTTAGGAGACCTTGGACAGGACCTGGGAATCTGAATTGTTGAACTACTTCTTGGGTGATTTCAGAGCACATCCAGGACTGTAGACTCTCCAGCCAAAGCTATATGCTCCTGAATTTTGATGTTTGAGGCATGCTGTACTGAAATAAAAGAACTTCAAGATTTTTGCTTCAGAAAATACTGTCCTATACATATAGATAGTCAAAAAGGAGAAAGATTAAGGCTAATTTTACAGAGAAGGTGGCTGTGACTTCATTTCATTTGTCATGCTTTTCTCCTAAGTGTGTCAGTCAAACTGCTCCTGTAGCAGTCCCTTCTCTCCTTTTTCTCTTCAGGGTTTGGGATCACTTGTTGGGAGTCTTATCTTTCTGCCACCCGGCACATCATGGCAGCTCACCTGATGAAGCGATGCACATGCCTCCTGAGAGAAGCTGCCCGTCTGGCCCCTGCCATGGCTCCAGTTGGTCAATTGAGACTTGCCAGGATAGCCCATAAGACTCTGAATTCCTCAGCCACCTCATGCAGTTCCCCCTTCCCAGGTTCCTTGACAGAGCAGGTAGAAAAGGAACAAATGTTTACTTCCTACCCAGAGAGCACAGAGGTAGACCAGCTCATCGAGAAGGCTACCACACCAGAGGAACTCCTGGAGTTACTTGGTAGTGGTCACCAGCTGCACCATCATGGAGCCCTCATACTCATCCAGCTCTCTCGTCTGCTGTCGGGGAAGCCAGAAGACAAGGCCTTGCTCAAACAGGATGCCCGCTTTCAGCAACTTCTCCATCTGGTCAACAGTCAGGTGGGTGCTAGAGTGTTGTCTCAGGGCTTGGACAAGAGACACTGGAGTTCACAACAGCCAGTGCTTACCAGCTGTAGCTAGTAAGCACAGTCAGTCTTGTGATATTTTTGCCTTGTTGTAGATTTCAAAATACTTTCTGTTTATCCTCACAGTAGCCCTATTAGGTAAATACTACCATTTTCATCTTACAGATGTGCAACCAAGACACATGGTAATAGAAGTGCAGGAAGTGAGCCTGGTTCTTCTCTGTTCCTTGAGTGCCTTCTCATTCACTTTACAGTCTTGGCTTGTATTACCACCCCCACCTCCACCCCCACAGTGTCTGACTGACGGGTGGGCACTGCTCGTGAAGCTGGAGGAAATGCAGTGTGACTGATGGAAGGACCCTGAAACTTGAGAAGGCGACAGTGTGATCTAACCATGTTCAGACCCTCCAAGGATGAATGTGGAGACAGGCAGCAACTCATTTGTGTGGCACTGCTGGGACAGAACTCAGTTCACCGAAGCCAGTTTCGGCTCACTGTGAGGAGTACCCCCCCCCCCCTTTTTTTTTGAGGTGGAGTCTCACTCTGTTGCCCAGGCTGGAGTGCAGTGGCATGCTTGCGGCCACCGCAGCCTCAACCCACTGGGCTCAGGCAATCTTTCCACCTCAGCCTTCCAACTAGCAGGAACTGCAGGCATGTACCACCATGCCCAGCTAATTTTGTGACTTAATGTACAGACGAGGTCTCACCATTTTGCCTAGGCTGGTCTCAAACCCCTGGACTCAGGCAATCCTCTCACCTCAGCCTCCTAAAGTTCTGGGGTTACAGGCTTGAGTCACCATGCCTAACCCAGGACTCCTTTTTTACAGATTCTTCCCCTGGGCTTCATGTGCAAAAATAAAGCAGTTCAAACCCCTCTGGCCAAATTGGCCCTCACTGCCTGCTCTGGAAGGGAGGTGCTCAGGCACTAAAACCATGTGCCCAGTTGTCAGAGGTGATGAAGACAGCCACTATTCAAGGAAGAAATTACATTAATTGAGTGTTTTTCATGCTGCAGATTACAAAATCAATAGAGTGGAATGTGACCAGCAATTTTTTAATGAGATAGAGTAGTATAGAAAATACTAGAATTTATCATATGTAGTAAGGGGAACGCTGTCTCATGGAATGTTTGTTTTAGTTGAGTATGTGTATTATACATGTGTGGTGTGTACTGATGTCACAGTACACTTTTTTTGTTAAGAATATAGCTCATAAAATGAGACCGGACATGGTAGCTCATGCCTATAATCCCAGCACTTTGGGAGGCCAAGGCAAGAGGATTGCCTGACCCCAAAGGTTCAAGACCAGCCTGGGCAACTTGGTGAGACCTCATCTCTACAATATATCAAAACATTAGCCGGGCGTGGTGGCACGTGCCTATAGTTCCAGCTATTTGGAAGGCTGAGGTAGAAGGATTGCCTGAGCCCAGCAGGTAGAAGCTGCAGTGGCCGTGAGTGTGCCACTGCAACCCAGCCTGGGTGACAGAGTGAGACTCTGACTCAAAAAAGGGCTGAGCTTAGTGACTCAGCCTGTAATCTCAGCACTTTGGGAGGCTGAAGTGAGTGGATTGCCTGAGCTCGCGGGTTTGAGGTCAGCCTGAGCAACTTGGCAGGACCTCGTCTCTACAATAAATAAAAAATTAGCTGGGTGTGGCAATGCACGCCTATAGTTCCAGCTGCTTGGAAGGCTGAGGCGCAGGAATCGCCAGAGCCCAGTGGGTCAACACTGGGGTAGCTGTGAATGTGCTACTGGACTCCAGCCTTGGTGACAGAGTGAGACTCCAACTCAAAAAAAAAAAAAAAAAAAAAAGAATGTAGCTGATAAAAGGAACCTAATTAGGCTCCTTGTTCTTAAGCTATAATTCTAATTGTTTATTGACTTTTTATGCACACATGATTTAAGCACATCTTATGATAGAAGAGTGAACATCGTAACGAAATTATAAGGCAAGTATTTGCAATGTAAGTGATGACGGAGCTTTCTTTTATTTATGTATATATGTATTTATTTATTTTTTGAGTGGGAGTCTCACTTCGTCACCCAGGCTGGAGGGGAGTGGCACCATCTTGGCCACCACAGCCTCGACCTGCTGGGCTTAGTCGATCCTTCCACCTCAGCCTTCCAAGTAGCCGGAACTATAGGCACATGCCACCACACCCAGCTGATTTTTTTATTTATTGTAGAGAATGGGTCTTACTAAGTTGTCCAGGCTAGTCTTGAATCCATGGGCTCAGGCAATCCTCTCACCTTGGCCTCCCAAAGTACTGGGATTGTATAGAGGTGAGCCATCACTCCCAGCCTAAAGCTTTCTTTTAAAAAGTTTTTCTAAGCCGGGCTCAGTGGCTCAGCCTATAATCCCGTGCCTTTGAGAGGCTGAGGTGAGTGGATTGCCTGAGCCCACGGG